CAAAGATAACCATCAGCTTCCTTCTGCTCGACCGTCTCTGATTTGCTTGAACATTTTCCGTCATGAACTCTGGATGTTTAAAACTGTATCTGTGACGTTTTAGCTCGACATCTCTCAAAGTTAATCACCTGTTTTGTTTTAAACTCCCCGTCGAACCACTTTCAGCAGCTTTTCTTCTGTGGCTGTTTGAATGACGACATCTCAGGAACTTTTAAAGATAAAACCCTGAAATTTTAGCTGTTGTTTCTCATCACGTAGTCGATTCAGAAGCTGCGATATTTGACGAGTGGGTCAAATGATCATAGTTGAGTTGAAATATGAAAGGAAAAGTAAACCGTCATGAAAAGTCTCATCTTTGAGCTCACATTAACACAAAATGCTGATAAATTAGACGCCGACTAATGATGTTTTCTGAACCAGATGTAGCTGCAGGTCATAATAACACAAAACAAATCATGTGATTAATACTTTTTAATAGCAAATGCTTGGTCACAAAAATGAAAAATATCTGTATTTTTGTAGTTGTATCTGGAGAAGCATTTAGAAACTCCACAACTTTGTTCTACTTGGATCAGGCCGCCAATCAGAGTTTTCATTATTACGACCAATAAACAGTGTTGTACATGTTTTGTTCTGTATTAATGTGAAATTCAGCTTCATGTGGTTCAGAAAACATCACTAGATGACTTCTGCACGATCAGTTCTTTAGTTAATTTGTGCTCAAAGACGAGGCTTTTCATGATCCTTCTTCATTTTTTTGGTCATATTTCCACTCAGAGTTTATTTAATCTACTTGTCTGATATCACAGATTCTGAATCAACAACATGATTAGAAATAGCAGCAAAAAAGTTCAGGCTTTTATCTTTTATAGTTGCTCAGATGTTGTCGTTCGAACGTCCTCAAATTTTAATGTGCAGGAAAAAACTGGTCAAAATATGAAAATCTGCAATTTTATTTTTAGCATTATTTTCATTTTAAAGTATTGTAGAAGCCGATAATGTAATAAATTTGCACTTTTTAAAGCATAATAGGCCAATAACGTCATAAAAGTCCTGAACCGACAACGTACTATCTTTATTATACATATTACGTTATCGGTTCAGGACTTTTATTGGCCCGTTATTATGTTATTGGCTTCTGCAAGTATTTAATATTTTAAACTCAAAGTTCACAGATGCTGTTTAAACGTCCATACTTCCTGGTATAAAATGTTTCTGCAAATCAGAAATGATTGATCAGAAATTGTTGAGTGACCCTAAAGTAACTGATTACTTTCTAGGGGAAGTAAATAAGTAATGCATTACTTTTAAAATGTGTAATCCTTTTTAAGAACAGCAACCCTGACACTGGTTCTAACTCAGCCTTTGTATAGTTTCAGAACACAGTGTGATGGTTTTACGTTGAGGAGCTGGTTTGTTCTCCTGAAAAGTGACTTCAGTAGCTTTTAGTAGCAAACAAACAAACAAACAAACAAGCTTCTGCATCTTTAGCACAACAAACATCTCATGAAATGCCTGTTTCTGAAGTGCCATCTCGATCCCGACCTGTTCTGTTGCCTTTCTGGATAATAACGAACCAAACCTGACGTCTCGTTCGTCATCCTGGATGGAGGAGAGTCTCTCTGCTGGCTGGACTGAGTGCCTACAGCTGATCCAGAAGTTCAGAAGAAATCCAGAGGAAGTGAAGGAATGTAAAGTTTAGCCTTTCGATTGTCACGTCATCAGACATTAAAATGTCTGACATGAACTTTCCAACATGCTCCTTATGTCTGACTATAAAAGCACAATATCTGTACGGTCATCAGTGACTTGCCTACTTGCTGTAAAACGTCTAAAACAGATCCATGATTGTTTCTGCCTGTAAATACGACTGAATAAATGATTCCTCCCTGTTTGGTTTTTATTATTATTATTATTATGTGTGTGTTTGTGTGGTGGAGGTCACTTCGTCTCCAAACCGGACAGGTCATCTTCCCCTCACCCCCGATGTGGTTGCGTAATAGCATTTATTTTGAGATACTACGTGGTTGCACCTCATCAGGCCTCTGAAAGCATTCATATGAGCAGAGGACGACACAACACAGAGACGTGGTCGCAACGGCTGCTGCGTTGTTTTGCAATATTTGTTGGAATTAGGTTGCTAAGAGTAAAAGAAAAGAGCTTATACTTTAATTATATGAGCAGTTATCCACTTCAAAATGGGTTTTCATTTGGGAACAGCAGACAAAGAAATAAATGATGATGCTGCCACAAGAAGTCACATTTAACTGCTTTTAAGTATAACTTTTAGAATAATAACTGAATTTTCCCTGTTTTGTTCAATTACAGATAATAACTCAAAAAAACCACAGGAAAAAAAGTTAAATTTACATCTTAATTGTCAGAAAACAAACAGGGCAGAACTGTAAAAAATGTTCACCTCAAATATCTGTATTTTTTTAATATAAATGTTTTTTTTTTCTTTTATGTGACCAGGAAATCATCAGAAAATATAGAATTATTTTACTGTTATTTGCCATTTTTGAGAGACAAATTATGTATATTAAGGATTTTTTTTAAATAAGTAAAAAAAAATACAAAAAAAGGCCAAAAAGGTGCATGAAGTCCACTTCAGAATTTTGTTTATTTTTTTTTATAAACACTAATTTATTCCTTCACTGTTTTGCTGTGTTTAAATTTGCTTAATATATCTTTATTTTACATATTTCTGCCAATATTTTCACAGTTTTGTTCAGGTTTTGAACGTTACAGTTTTCCATTGATTACACTGTTTTTTAAAATATATTTTTCTGGCATTTTTGCTGCCAGAGTTTCACAGGTTTTGTTTGGTTTGTTTGTTTGTTTGTTGTTGTTATTGTTTAACAGATTTTTGTTTTAGACTTGAATAGAATACTAATACTTTATTATAATTTTGTTGTTGCGGCACAAAGATAAAGTCACCACCACCATAAATACAGATAAATAAGCAAAAGTAAACAATAAGAAATATAAAATGTACAATAAGTGTAATATGTCAAGTAGAAGAGTCCTGTGTGGAGTGTGGTGCTAATAGTGATGTTTTACAGTGTAAATGGGCAGCTGGATTATCTCTACAGATAGAAATATGTTCACGGTTATGAGCTTTAAGCTGCAGCTTGTTTGTCCAGAACCAGCAGCTTCGCTTTCCGACGCTGCCTTTTTTCTCTCTGGGCTGCTGAAGAGCTCCGATGTGACTCTAGACAAATGTTTGTGTCTCCGGGAGTCCCGTCACGTCGCCATAACCAGAGGATTGTCGCATGACTGACTCACCACAGCGCTCTCCACTCGTACTGACGGACCTCCTGACTGCTGACCCCTGACCTCCCACTTATACACAAATAGAAAAGCTGCACGTCGGTCTGGGAAGGAGAGGCTGCGAGCAGGCAGGACAAAGAAGGTGATTTACGTCCAAACCAGTTAATACTTTAACAAGCGCAGTGTTCTCTCAGAATATCCACTCTCATTGTGACGGCGGACGTGCTGCATTCGCCCTGATTCACGTCTGAACCCACAGCGTGTGACCCAGTTAGAGAGCTTCCTGTGAAATCTGGGCTTCCACTGGACCTCACACTGCTGACACACTTCACACAAGAAACTGGGCTGATGTGTTACAAGGAGAGAACATAAAATAGTTAG